GGGGGGTCTGGGGGCTCCGGGGACCCCCCCGGGGTGTCCCTGTGTCCTCAAGGTGTCCCCAGGGTGTCCCTGTGTCCCTAGGGTGTCTCCATGTCCCCAGGGTGTCCCTGTGGTGTCCCTGTGTCCCTAAGGTGTCCCCATGTCCCCAGGGTGTCCCTGTGGTGTCCCTGTGTCCCTAAGGTGTCCCCATGTCCCCGTGGTGTCCCCAAGGTGTCCCTGTTGTGTCCCTGCAGGGTTCCTGCTGCCCGGGGGGTCTGGGGGCTCCGGGGACCCCCCCTGGGTGCTGGGAGGAGAGCGTGGCCTGGCTGAGCCCGGGGGGACACCCCTGTCACTGTCCCTGTCCCTGTCCCCACGGAGCTGAGGGGGACAGGGAACACGGGGAACACGGGGAACACCGGGAACAACGAGGTACGGGGGGGGAGAGGGGGCTCATTCCCATCCCAAATCTCATCCCATCCCAATCCCATCCCATCCCACCCCATCCCAAATCCTTTGCCACACAGCCCCCATTCCACCCCATTCCCACTGGGGTTCTGGGGGGTCTCCTCTGTTCCCACAGCCCCGGGATGTCCCAGTGTCCCCATTCCCACCCCATCCCATCCCATCCCATTCCCACCCCATTCCCACCCCCCCTGGAGTTCTGGGGGATCTCCCCTGTTCCCACAGCCCCAGGATGTCCCAGTGTCCCCATTCCCACCCCATCCCATTCCAGAGGCCCCCACGGAGGACGACGTTTCCTGCCGGTGCCTGTCTCAGCCCCTGTGCCACGTGGCCCCCATCCCACCCCATTCCCACCCCATCCCGGGGTTCTGGGGGGGTCTCCCCTGTTCCCACAGACTCAGGGGTCACCCTGTCCCCGTTCCCACCCCATTCCCACCCCATCCCATTCCAGAGGCTCCCACGGAGGACGATGTTTACTGCCGGTGCCTGTCTCAGACCCTGTGCCATGTGGCCACGCCGGTGACCGTGGGGTTCTACGCGCCCTGCGGGCACCGCCTGCAGTCCCTGCTGGACAAGGTCACCGGTGGGTGTGGGGACAGGGGAAGGGGGGACACCCCCCCCCCTCCCCGGGGTCCCCTCGGATCCGGGATCCTGGATTTGGGGGCTCTCGGGGCCGGGGTTGGTGCCTCCTCTTCTTGGGTGGGTTTGGGGTGTCCCGAGTTGTCGCGTCCCAGTCCCAAATCCTGTAGCCAATCCCAAATCCTGTCCCCAGTCCTGTTTCTCCCTCTGCTTTGGGGTCTCCCGTCCCACCCCATCCACCCCCAAATGTCATCCCATCCCACCCCATCCTATCCCAAACCAACTCCCAAATCCCACCCCAAATCCCATCCTTTACCCTCTCTCCCCCCCAGCCTTCATGCGGGAGGAGATGTCGGAGCGGGAGGAGGCCGAGCTGCTCCGTGACCCCGAGCGGCCGCGCAGCCCCCGGGGCTGGGGGCTCCTTCAGGCCCTTTGGCTCTTGGCCTTCTACGAGCCCGTGGTGACCGAGTCCCACCTGCGCCGGCGCAACCTGGAGTTCGTCTTCGTGCGCTTCAGCGCGTGGCAGTTCTCGGGCTGCGACCGCCTCTGGGCCGGGCTGGTCACCACCCTGTGCGACAACATCCGCCACCACTTCGGGGCCCTCCTGCTCAGCGTCTTCCACGTGGCCGGGACGCGGCCCCGCTACGCCCAGGGCTTCACCCGCAGGGAGTGGGTGCTCAAGAGGGGCACCTGCCTCAAGGTGGGTGTCCTGGGATACCTGTCCTGAGGTGGGTGTGTCCTGGGAGATCTGTGGTCA